ACACACACACACACACACACACACACACACACACACACACACACACACACACGGTATTGCATGCACAAAAGTTCTCCTTCTCCATGGTAGCGTAGTATTTGGGCCTTTAAACCATGTACAAACCCTCTATTTCCCTAAACTACATTCCACCAATGTAAGGTACACAGGAGAAAAAGCACAATTTGACACCCATCTTTCCCCAATTTACTCATGGACAATCCAGGATGTTTTCACTTAGGGAGTAGAGCCTGAACAGCAGGAAAGGACCTTGTATCCCTGAGGTGCAAGAGTGTCCACCTAGGACCCACACCCAACCTTTAGAGCAGCCATCTGCATGAAAGGACCATGCAGCCCAAGGAAACAGGGAAAGCGTCGCTAACTGGAGAAGAGAAGGCAGATCAGATATTCAGTCTAGTAAGGCTCAGAGTAAACCTGTGTTTCATACACAAAGAACTACACAATGAGAGATTTAGTTTTTATTTCATAAAATCAAAGTATTCAATAGTAGGTGTGTCAACTCAATAGACAAATTAGGTATAAGCTGAAAAAGACAATGCAGTTATCAAGTTACTCTGAGTTCAACACTGAGGCTAGGCAGTGTTCCAGTGATGTCATCTCCCATATCCAGAGCCTTTTAGAACCCTCCAAGGAAAATGTGAAGGCCTCATGATAATTAAGAATCAAGCAAAGACACCGCAGGGACTTGAACCCCGTCCTGGAAACCAGGAGTGCCAACCACCAGCATCTTTTGCTTTTTTTTAAAGCTAGGGAAAGGCCAAAAAGCAAAACCTGAGAAAACAAAGCTTGTTTTCTCAGGAAAAGAAAAACCTTTACAACCCTACTGAAGAATCTGCTTCCGCTAAGATGCTAGCTTGGCCAAGTCTGTTATGTCCACCTGAAAAAGTCTTAGCAGAGAATTTTGCAATCCCACCCCAACAGCTCCCTACCTCGCTTGTCTTTCAATCAACTTCCTACATTCCCACCCAGCATTAATGTCAAACAGTACTATACCCTTGACTGGTTTGCTTAGTCTGAGTACGTGCTGCATATAAAACATCTTAGCTACTTAGCTGTGGTTTTAACGTTAAATTACAGGCAGGGGAGAAAATGGCCTTTTCTGGTGCAACCCACAGGACCTTGGCACCATGGTTACCTTGAAACCGATTAGGCATCATGACCTCAAGGATCCAGCTACTGGCTGCATCAAGGTGAGGGGTGAAGGGTCTGTGATTAGGCCAAAGGCACAGGGTGGCGATGTGGCAGAGAAATCACTTGTGGGGAGACCTTGTAACAGGATTCTGGAAAAGCTAGGGAAATATGGTTGCCCACTTTCCCCCTTTTCCCTCCCCTGCAAGCACAACTTGAGGTTTGGGCTGGTAAGGCTGCTATAAAAACAGCTTTTTTCACATTAAAACAAGCCCAGGGCCTCTCAAGTATTTGGATGCTTCAACTCCAGCAAGGTAGGGTAGTCCTCACTGCTAATCAAAACCGATCATGGTACCAATTTGGTCTCAACACTGCTCGCTCGACTCTTGCCACAGGAAGGCTCCGCTGTCCTACATTAAGCCTTCAGTGCCTTTAGTGAGGGGTACCTGAAAAATCTTAAAGAGAGGCTTAGCGCCCACCTCACCCCTCCACCCCAAGGCCAACAAACAAATGACATGCTAGCTGCTCCAGCATGAAGCTGAAGAGAATTCAACGCTAATTACCAGGAACTAGTCTTAAACAAGAAAAGGCTCGTTCACCTGTTGTCCTCATTTGTCCACTGGTGAATTCAATTCAACTGGAAGCTCCTTCTATAGTCTGAAGTACATCTGAAAGAACTAGGGCTTCCCAATCCCCACATTGAAAATGGAAATGTCTGCTTCACTTATCGATTTAAGTAAATGGGCTATTTTTCCTTACTGGGTCTGGCTTCTCTGGCCCCTTGAATAGATGTCTGCGGTTTTCAATGTTCCTGCATGTAAGAATTAAGACCAAGGGAGGGGAGAGAGACACCTACACAAGACAATGCACTAAAGACCACGGAACTGTTAAAAACATTTCCACTTGCCAGTTAAAATTTCTTCAAGAATGTTGCTTGTCTGAATTTATTTCTTGTCAGATTTTAAGTTGAATCTGGAAGAGACTAAAGGCTTCAGTGCTCCCAACCCCCCTCACCAGAAATGAACAAAAAACATTTACCTAAAGCAGCACAGCAAAGGGACTTGGCTTCAATCACAAACACGTGTTACTTAAAGCTGCAGAGCCATTTCCTCAACACTCAGCCTGTATTACTCATGGCTTTTCCTTCAACAATCACTACTCCAAACATTTGGGTAAACACAACTTTAATCACACTCCAGTCGTGTCACAATGCATTCTAACAGCAGCCGATTGGAACAGTACTGCACATATTACTTGCCAAAGAACAGACAAGACCTGAAGTCAAGACACCTGCATTCTGTGTGGTCTGTAAAAAAAAGCTAGAACAAGTAAGCCCCATCCCCCTCCTCCCTTCCCTCCAAATTCCAGGAAAAACAAACTCACTGCAAGGTCTCACTCACTCACTAGCAGAACAGAAGACAGAGGCAAGCGCTTATATACAATGTCCTGAGCAGCTCCATGAAGGATGAAATGAGGCCTCTGCAAAGGAAAACACTTTAACACCCACATGCCAGGCCCAACTCGGGGTTCAAGTGAGGTGACAAAAGGCTTACGTGGATGAGATGGTTGTAAGCATTTAAACTCAACATGCACATTTGAAATGTGGGAAAGTATCTTACCCTAGATGTTTAGCCATGGTCAAATTAGACCCCTGACTTTCTGGAAACAAAATTATGTAGTTACCTTTTACTCTGACCATCATCTCCCACCTGCCTAAGGTACTTAGTCCTTAGTTAGAGGGCCTCTATGCCAGGCCTGCCATTATTAAATGCTCATCACTGCATGAAGAATAAAATTTGTCTTTCCTGCCTGAAAGTTAAATTCAAATTCGGTCTTCTGCTCAAGTCCTGATCTTGTCCATTTAAGTGTTCGAAGACAAAGTTTCTGAAAAGATTAGAGAAGAACATTCCCCCCAAATTGCCCAACACTAACTACAGACAACAAACAAGACTTTATTTAAATAAGGAGACAGCCTTCTAAATACATACATTATCTAGTGAAGCATTTTATTTATGATTTTAATTTTATTATGATTTAATGATTTTAAGCACAAGTACATTGAGCACATTCACACCTGACTTTCAGCACATAATGAATGCTAGGTCCCTATCGTGGGGGTCTGCACAGATTCAAACGATAGATTCCTTAATTTAGTAAAGGATGTAATTAAAACAGGCACTAATCATGTACGAGGCTTTTGTGATAAAACTTATGATGCAAAAGCCTGCTACTTTACTTACTATCCCATCATGAAAGCCCAAGACTTACAATTTTTATTTAAAAGGCTGGATGGGAAAACTGCTCACAAGCCTGAACTGCCCTAAGAAGGGTTCAGGTACGTTCTAACATTCAATAACTCCCTCCACAGCTCTTATATTTTTCTTTAAAAAAGTGCTTATCCCTAACATGCAATACTGCAGATTCAAGTTAAACTTATCTGTCAACAGCAGTCTGCTGTTTCCTGCTCCGAGATGAAATGAAGCAACTCTTCTGCTTATGTAGAGAAACCTGTCTGAGGCAAACGAAAGATTGGCACACTGCACCGCCTCTCAAGCCACTTGATCCCACTCATCTCAATAAGCTCAGCTTCTTTTTACTCCAGGATTAATGTAGCATTTTCACTTCATTTTTATTCTGCTTTTGTAAAAGCAGTTTTGAGATGAATATTTGATCTTCACTGTTTTTCATCAATTCTTTACTTTTGTGGATAAAGCTTGGTAAGCCATTAACTTTTAAAGGTAGATTTCCGTAACTTTATACTGGTTGCTTTCATTTGCTTAATTTTTGCATATGCAGACTTCATCAGTAGTAACAATCTCAGGCTCATGCTCACTCCCCACGGAGACATGACATTATCTTTTCTGCCTTTACTTATCACACATTCACCAACGAGCTGTTCCCTCTGCATCTAGGTCATCATACTCTGCCAGGCTGGTTATGACTCAGATGGTGTTATCTGAAAAAGGTCTACAGAAAAAAAAAAAGGTTTCCCCTCCCTCATCAACAAAAGCCCACCCTCTAAAAGACATTCAGGCTGAACTATCACAATTCTTAAATTATAAATTACAAATAAATACAAAATATACAATGCACAAAAAAAAATAAGCATACCTTTACATCTTGTTTAGTCACAAGGAAAATCATTTCTCCTACACTAGGAAAAAGACTTGCTTATACAAAACTGAGATGGAAATCTCTTACTTGATAATATAAAAGCTATCACCAGAAGAAATCCCTTCAGGGTCATTAAAGCCACTTCCTTTGCTCTGAAGTTCCTATAGTAGTTATTAAGATACATTAAGTCACCTGAAAAAAATTTCAAAAGAGAACCACACACTACAATCTACATCCGGTAGCTTCAAAAGAATCCCCACTGTAGCTTTCACATCATTCAGTGGACCAGACCAACCCCCCCAAGCCCTACACACTTTCAAGGGAACAGACAACTGTTGAGATTGACTTTCCTTGCCCCCCCCAAAGAAGCAAAAACTGGATTGGGAGTTACTTGCCAACTTGAAAGCTGAGATTTCCTCAGTTTTTCCAAATACTTAAGTTCTCTGGTATGATTATCTGAAATCATAAACTAAACAATTACCTAACAACCCCCCACCCACCCAAACAACAGGCCACAGCCAACTAAGTTTTGCCCTCCCCTTTAATGAAAATGTTAAGTCATGGTGCTTGAAAACTTAACTTCAACATCTGGCCTAGTCAAGCTCCTGAGGTTCTCCTGAGGTGACTGTGAACCAAAGCTGCACTGTGTGCACTTCAGCGGCAACTGGGGAAACTCTTCCAAGGATAAAAGGCAGCTCCAGTCCCTGAAGGTGTCGTGCCAACAGCATAGCAGTACACGCCTTCTCTACCCCAGTGTGCCAATAGAACTATTGCATCTGTGGAAAATCTTAGAAAAAAACATTTCCCCCCACCCACTCCTGTTAAGACCATTCCCAAATATTTAAGTAAAAATGTTTAAAAGATTAGGAACTTTACAAGTCTTGTTAAGGGAGGGAGGAAAGAATAAACTGCCAGCCATCCCGCCAACGGGCAGGCTCTCCACACTCTGTGAGAGCTATCACTCATCCTCTCATTTCTAGAAACTGTAAACCTGTTGAGTTCTGCTTATCCTGATACTGGATTTCCTTTTTTTCTGGTTCCCTTGAGTCATCTGCCTTTAGGATTCTAGACAGACCTAAGGGGAAAAGAACTCAAAATATATTTTGCCCCCATCCCCCCCAAAAGCACCTTGCCCAATTACCTCCCCTACACAGTAGTGAGACTCGCAGAAGACTGCAGTAGGTCATCTGTTCACAAACTAAAAATTCTTACAAAACCGGGAGATTGTGCTGGCTCTACCATTCACTTCCTCAAATCGGTTAAGACAACTTGCCATCTACCATTCTTCTGGGCCTTGGCAGTCTGCCCTCAAAAGCTTCACACAAGATGCAAGAGGACATAACCCTGAAAAAGAAAAACCTACAACACCCGCAAAGGCCTACATTCCCAGATAAATCTCTTTTACACAGAAGCCTACAATCCCCGTTACTATTAAGGCAAAGTAAACAAAGAAGTTACCATCCAAGTTACAGAGAAAACCACCACCAGGCTGCCGACCTCACGGAATGTTACCGCACCACATGCTCTCCCTGCAGCCTTTCTTGCACACTGGCATGCTGGTCTAGGAGCTGCTATCTATTCTTTCCACAATGCCTCCTCCGCGCAGTTGACAAACCAAGCCGCCAGCTAGCTTCATCACCAACTCGCACTGGCTCCACCTTCCTGGAATCCTCTTCCCTAGCTTCACCACCACATCGTTATGGCTCCTTCTTCCTAGCCTCCTCCACCGCACCGCACTGTGTCCTGGGCTATCTTCACCATGCACTGCTGCTGCTGGCTCCTCAGTCCTTCCTAGCTTCACCAAACTGGCTTCGGGACTCCTGTCTGCCGCTCCTGTCTTCCTAGGTTCACTGAATCCACTTCTGTGTAGAACTGGGTCAGCTGCCAATGCTAGTTGTTAGGATTTTTAAAGCACCTCAGCTCAAGTCCAATGCAAAATGCTGACAATCTTGAAATTGTTATCAAAAGTCCTTGTTATCAAAATTAAGCTACAGTTAAGGCCTTTAATATTCTTCTAACTCTTCAAACGGCATTCTGCCTTAACTTTTTAACTACTTCAGTTCTAGTAGCTTTGATTACTAGTTTCACTCTTGTAAAGCGGCTGTCTACAGAATTTTAAAGTGCTCGCTCCATCAGAAATTTGAATTTACGGCTTTAAAAATAATTTCCTTCCGATTTTGAGATTTTATATCTTATCCAACCTTTTGGTCTCAATCTTATCTTCTTTGCCTATCTTGAATGCTGGCATCCAAAGTTGTCTGAACTTCCTTTTGTTTTTCTATCTTGCTTCTATCTTGTTTTCTTCGACTTCCTACCTGTGCGTTTAAATACCTTTTCTGTCTTCTAAAGATGCTTCGTCTTCTATTTTCCTATCTTCTCTACAGCTGTTCTCTTCACCTTCCTGTATTTGTCTTCTTCGTTTTCCACTTCCATTTTCTAATCTTCTTTCTCAAATACTAACCTACCACTTCTATCTTCCCTGTTTCCAACTCATGCCTTCGAACATAACATGCGCCATAACTTTTAAAACGGCCTTCACATTAACCTATTTTTTCAATCTTTTTAAACTACACCTCATTTTCAAACTATTGTCTACGACTTAATGGTTTAAAATCCCATTTAGATTCTATTTAGGTAACCTTCATTTAAATGTACATCTACAAGGCTGACCTTCATACTAGATCCTTTTAAAACTCTGTTTAATACCTCCCTTTACAAGCTTCTAAATTACTCTGGATAAAAGCTTCAGGTCAGCCTCCATCATATTGTAAATATTTTTCTTCTCTTTTCCTTTTCAAACTGTTCAAGTAAGCCTTCATATTTTCTCTTAAAATCTTAAATTATTAACGCTAAGTATTATCTCGATAAGCTATTCTATTAACTTAAGTTTAGAATTCTAATTCCTTTTTATTTCTTAATCTTTTTAAATTGAAACTTATCTGTGAATTCCTCAGGCTGAGTCTCCTGCCTCAACAGCCACCTCTGCTCTCGCTGCCTGAATGCCTGATACAGAGCCGAGAGCTCCCGTATTTATTGCGAAGGGACACGTCACTCCACCGGAACCTAGTAACCCTCCACCACCTTGGTGGAGGAAGAAAAAATAGTTCCTCAGAGAGTTAAAAATAGAGCCTGAGTTCCAAGTTTCTAGATTTTTCTTGACGGTGTATGGGCCTCTGGATTTGCTAATACACAGAAATATTTAACTTGTACCAGCAACTACAAAATAAGTTTAAATTTTCTGGTCACAAGATGAAAGACACAAAATAATAGCTATTACAAATGGGAGCTCAAAATTTTTCAGATGCTTCAGCCATCTTTCCCGTTTTCCTGGGAGGACAGTGGGTACTCTATTGCTCTTTTAAGTGTTAAGGTGGGTTTTCGAGCAGCTCTAATTTCCATTGTGTAACTCCCAGAGCGGCAGCCATTTCATAGAAAACAAAATAGAGCTTCTCCGAAAATGACCTGGCCCTGCCGAGTTGTTTCTGAGGGATAGCACTTTGCTTTGTACTGGTTTATACGCGGGACGCTGAGAACGTCCCCCGTAGGGCCGGGCTGCAGTCCCGGGCCGCCCCGAGGACATTATTCCGAGCCTGGGCTACCGAGCGCTTTGGCGCTTGCGTACGACCGCCATTTTGGGCTGCCAGGCCCTCGTTCCAAACCAGCAAAGCCCAGCAGCCGACCCTGACACGAGGCTGCGATCTCAGTCTAGCAAGGCGAGGGTCGCTGCTCGGGAGGACACGGTGACCTTGGAGCCAAACCGAGCCCGGCTTCGAGATGCATATTGCTTTGTTTCCTAAGCTCATGCCTTTCTAAAATTACGACGTAAAGGGAAGGGCGTCTCTACGACCTACTGTTCCCCTTTCTCCAAAATCCAGGGAACCTAAACGAAACGACCACCCGGCACGGAGACGCGGACCGCGCGGGGGAGGGCGGGAAGGAACCGGAACGCGCCACAAGGACAAAGGGGGGGCGCAAGGATACGCAGGTGGTGAGTCGCCGTCTCCCTTTGTGAGGCGCAGACTCGCGCGCTGGCAGCCGGGCGCGGCCGGTTCTAACCGGTTCCAGCCGGTCTAGTCAAAGCTGTTGACGCAGAGCCTCGCTGCGCAGGCGCGCGCGACCGCCCCCAAGCGCCTGGATCTAGGTGCGGGAATGAGTGGTGTGGGGGCAGGGCGGCTGCTGGGGGCTGTGCTGCAGTTTCCTGGTCGCTCCTTAGTGCGGCCTCCGGGGCCCACTGAGCTGCCCTTTTTGGTCTCTATGTCGTCCATTACGTGTTATCACACATACTTTGCTTGTACGTCTACTTTGTACTCGAGAAGACAAAGGGAAGCGAGTCTCGGGTTGATCGGGTTGATCTGCCGGCGACCACCCGGTTTTTAGAAGAACAATGGGAGTTCTGTGAAACAGCGCTCCGCTCCCGGCGGCGCACACAGGTCCAGAGCTTGGAACCACAGACCGGCTGGCGGCACCGGCTCCCTCCCCAGATCTACGTTCTAGGACCTGTAAATAGGGAGGTTTGGGCAGACGCTTTAAGAGGCTAGAGCTTAGTGACCGTACAGGCCGAGATGGTCACTAGTGACATAAAACTACATGAATACTCTATTCCTAAAACTAAAGGAGAGAGGCCCCCTTAGATTGGTGTGGAGTTCTAGCAAAGCTGGGCGCTGGTCAACGTTTAGACCTCCAAGCCGTTGCCTCCCACCCCAAAGCCAAGGCCACTTTAAACTTTTTCTTAATTTTTATGTTATTTATTTTCTGAGACAAGGTTTCTCTGTTTAGCCCTAGCTAATCTGCAACTCACTCTATAGACCAGGCTGGCCTCGAACTTAGGTCCTTACCCAAGTACTGGGATTAAAGCTGTGTGCTACCAAGCCTGAGGCTTGTTTAAGCAGCATTCAGCTGACCCTTACAAAGTGGTCCTACTTTTCTCTTTTTTTCTGCCTGTAAAAAGCCCTAAAGAATGGAATGTTACTGAGTGCAGATGGTCCCTCTAGATGCCTCTTGATGGATGCCTTTGGGGCTGGAAATTTTTTAGAATTTTAGTTCTGAAAGGACAAAAACTTGAGTCACCTAAATTACAGGCAGAGATTTGAGTCTAGGGAATTTGTGATTCATCTAAAATTAGGCAGAGTTAACTAGCAGAAGGAGTTCTTCGTTCATTTCAACCCACCTCCCTCTCCTCCCCCGACCTTCTGTTTCTGGTTTGCCTCTGCTGGGAGGAGGGCCTAAGACACTTCTGGAGGCCAGGGAAATGAAACCAATGTTTAAAACGATAGTGCTGGATCTCTACAAGTTGGAGCCTGCTGTTCTACATACAGAGTTTCAGGTGAGCCAGGACAACATAGGAGACCCTAGGTTTTTTTTTTTTTTAAAAAAAAAAAAAGAAAGAAAGAAAAAAATGGCTAAAACTGTATAGCCTGGCATGTTTTGTTTTGAGACAGGGTCTCACTGCCAAGTTGTCCTGAAACTATGTATCCTTGGCTGGCCTGGAAACTCAAGAGATTGTCAGTATCTGCCTTGTGAGTGCTGGGATTAAAGGCCTACTCACCTGTGGCAAAAACTAGAGATTTGGTTTTTTGTTGTTTTGGAAACACTGCAGATAGGGTAAACTAGGCAAGCCTTCCACCCTCCCCTCCCTCAGCCTCTAAAGTGCTTGACCATAAATCCATTGTCTTGATTCCTTCATACATCATTCTTCTCTTCTCCTTGCTGTTGGAATGGCTGTGCAGCCCTGGGCAACTCCCAGGGTTTGGAGAGAGAAACAGGCAGCAGGGTCACTCCAGAAACTCTTCTTCGGAAAGACATGGTTTGCAAAGGCAGAGAGGAAGTTCACAGTGATCATCCCATGAGAAGTAATACTACAATTTTTTTTTTTAATTGCTAGGGCCCTGCTGTCTTCCCCCTTCTTAATTTTTACGTCTCAAACAGGCTTTGGTAGTTGATTGATTCTTGCTTCCTTTGTTTAGTAGTTCTTTTCTGGATATTTCTTTTTCCACTGTTAAAGATTAAACATAGCCGGGCAGTGGTGGCCCATGCCTTTAATCCCAGCACTTGAGAGGCAGAGGCAGGCGGATTTCTGAGTTCGAGGCCAGCCTGGTCTATAGAGTGAGTTCCAGGACAGCCGGGGCTACACAGAGAAACCCTGTCTCGAAAAACAAAACAAAAAGATTAAACACAAGCCCTCAAGCTTAGGGAGACAGCCTGCCTCTGGGCTGCCTAATCCTCTATAAAAGTAATGCTTGCTTTTTTATAGAGGTCTCACTGTGCAGTCCTGGCTGGCTCATAGGGTACCACCAACACAAAAGGAGAAACAGCCCGTGTCAGCCAGTCATCTGTCACTCCCCTCAAAAGAGCCCAGGCCAAATCCACAAGCTCTGAGTGCCTGTTTCTTTCTGGCAGGCACATCACTGACGAGCACCCCTGTGACCTTGGGCATGAACCCAATAACTTCTGAGTGGTAATTTCCTAGTGTACAAGAAGAGAGGAGGAGAGACTGACCGGATGTTGCTGATTCTGTAAACAAAGGGGTGGGGCAAGAACATGGAGAATTTTAGACTTCCTGGCTAAGGCCTGAAGAGTTGTCACTCTGAAAGTGACTGGAGCAGCAATAATTCAGAATTAAGACAGGGCCAGAAATCCTTGGAGACACTGAGTCCACCCACCCCTTGCAGGTTGCAAAGGTGGATCAGGCCTCAGCAAAGGAATGGCTACTTCTCTCTTTCAGTTTAGTCCTGGGAGCCAGAGAGCAGCCTGGGCAAGTCCACTTGCATTCTTCCCAGGCCTGTGGAACGATAGCCCATCCTGTGATTTCTATCTATAAGGCACAAGGGATGTCAGGCAGGAAAGAGGGGGAAGGACTGGGAGCTTGGGCGGGGGAGATTTTTTTTCTAAAGACTGAATTGCTGTTCCCATCCACCGCCCACCTTCCCAGGGTGATTTTTTTTTTTTTTTTTTAAGATCTTTGGAACAATGTGAACCTCTAAGTCTGCTCCACAAACTCTCGGGCTACCCCCACTGCAGGAAAAAACCTACAGAGATGACAAAGCAGGGGTCGGTTTGGGGGGAGAGAGCATTGATTCTTGGGGGTGGGGGACAGCTAACAAATGTGTCCTGGAGAAACAAAGGGTAAAAGTCAGTAGTCACGGAGGCCCACTTCACAGGGAGAACCCAGGCCCAACAACACAAGTTCCAGGCCCCGAAGGTGGCTGTGACATTGCAGTTTCCAAGATGAGGTGGGGAAGCAGCAGCCTGTCCCAGAACTGAGGGAACCAGGGGAGAGAAGCATGCACTCTTGTCTTCTGCACTTGCGTCCTTTAGCCTGTAGGAAGGGCTGGCAGCCCTGAGACAGCTGAGCTGGTTAACAGTTAACAGTGCTTGCTGCTAAGCCTGGGTCTGATTTTAAGCCCTAGATCCCACAGGAAGAGAGGAGGCTGCCCTCTGGCCTCCCAGCACACACAAAATAAATGTTAAAAAGTCAATTTTTAAAAATTAGGAACAATAGCCGGCTAATGGTAGCAGGCAGATCTCTGAGTACCAGGCCAACCTGGTCTACAGAGTCAGTTCCAAGACAGACAGGTTACACCGAGAAACCCTGTCTCTACAAATGAAAAAGGAGAGGAAAGATTCCAAATTCACTAGAAGCGTCCTGGGGGAGGAGAAGGTGTCTGGAGGAAACCGACTGTGGCCCCACCCTGAGCCTTTGGCTGTTTAGAAGCTGTGTAATTAGCTGCAGGCTCTGCAGTCTCTGTAGAGCTTTCTAGAAGGCCTGGCTGTAGAAACAGTGGTAGTACCAAGGGATAAGGGAAGAGGACTAACAACAAAAAGCAAGACAGGATTCTCCAAAGGTGTAGCTCTGACAGGATTCTCCAGAGGCATGGCTCTGGCCCTCTGCAGGTTCAAACTCTGAACAGCCCAACTGGCTCCACATCAGTAGGTCTGGTTTCTAGGGTTTTCCCTCCAATCTCCCCGTTTTGGGCCAGTTGGTTTTGGATGA